TTCCTTCGAACTTATATATGTCTAAAGAAAAGGAAGAGGAAGCAGAACTTTTACTGAAAACATTCTCATTTTAGTCATTAACACATTTAATCAAAACTGAGAAGATTTTACAGTTTTTTAGCTTCAATTATGCTTCGCAACTACGTTTTAGCTGTAGCCGCAGCACGAATAATTTTCCAAGAATCAGAATTTTTGGTGCAATATTTTTGCAATTAATGTTCTAACTGCAGGGAAAAAGAAAAAGAAAACCAAGAAAATCATATAAAAAAAAAATCAAAATTTTGTTACACCTTGAGTGTGGAAAGAGAGCAGTTCAGAGATGAGGGCAGGTCTTCCTTGATGCCAGGAGACGAAGGGGGAGATGGGGCCCCGTTTAAGTATGGAAACCATGTTCCTGACCCGGTCAGAATTCTCCGGGTGGTTCTCCAGCACATCGAGAAAACCCGGATCCATGCCCGTGTCGAATACGCCTCGACCCGTGTCGTGTTCGAGCATACCCTCGTGCCAGAAGACGTGCAGCCGGTCATTTTCTGCTGCTGGTTTTGGGTCTGGCGCACAAGCAGAGGATTCCGCCATGGTTGGGGAGTGAAGAAAATTGCAGGTCCACGGGAAACCCCCGATATACTAATTCTATCGTAATTTAAAAATTGCTTAATTTACCATTATACCCTTATTTTATCGTTGAATTTATCATTATCTCATTATACCCTTATTTTATAACTGAATTACGATTATGTCATTACTTTATCACTGAATTTACTATTATGCCATCACTATCAAATAATATATATATTCTAAATTATATATAAATAAAATAATATATATATATAACATATATATAATGGTTAATATATAATATATATTATATATTATAGTGTATATATATATATATATAATTTATATAATAACCGTTATATATATTATAGGGTTGGGTTCAAGTGAGAATGGTTCTTAGTGAAAGAAATAAGAATGAATTGTAGCCATTGGATCAGTTGATCTAATGACTAAAAAAAAGTCAAAATTATACCTTCATTAAGGGTATTGTAGTAATTTTCCACACCACATCCAAAGAAGTGTGCCCAATTATAAAATAATGCACCTGCCAACACACACTCACCACCCACCCCACACTCTCTCTCATACACACTCACGCACACACACAAACACACACAACAAAATCGACACAGACACACACACACAATACGGTCCGCCACCACCAGCTCGCCGTCGCCCATCCGTCTCCGCCACGCAGTCTGCCGCCGCCCACTCTATCCAGCTCAATTGCTTTCTCTCTCATCACATAGACAGAAATGGACCGCACACACATATTTATGGCCCCCACCACCAATCCGCAGCCACCCGTCCGCTGCCGGCCGCCGTCCCTCCGCCG